ACATGTTACCATCACAAACCATTAAAAAAAAATAATAATCTGCATTTCTGTATTGTAATTTTTTACGATAATCGTTTCACTGAGCTATCGGTTTCACTACCAGCCGCGAATAACTGTTTGGAAAATCACACATGAAACAATATCCACTCAACTATTCAGAAATAATAAACATTTTAATTGCCATTTTCAACGATTTCTGGTTCTTTCAACAACAGCCACAAAAAATTGTGTCGGAATGATCGTTTTTCGATTCCATTCAGTTGTTTTGATACAATCGAATCCATTGGCGAAAAATTCCCCGAAAGTTCCCCTTCATTTTAACGCAAAAAAAAAAACAGTAGGAAAGAATCAGCAACGGCCATAAATAAAATTAAAGCAAACACAATGAATTGCGTTCATACGAATTGACATTAATATTTATCGGCCATATGTCCATCATTGAATGCCATCAATGCCTTTTTAACAACAGTGCACATTATTTCACATTGAACATCATCGGTTGCATTAGGCAACGTCAATGCCTATAATTAAAACACATTCTCAAAATGCACAAAGAAAATGAAACTATTTCATAGAATTTATTGTGAAATGATTCTGGTACTGGGACTGATTTAATTTGTTTTAATGAACCGAGCTTTTCGAATTATGACGAAAATATTTCGGTTTCACGATTGCTTATTTTATGTAAATCGAATTTGAGCTACATCCATGGGAGTCAATTTTTCAATGAACCTACAATTCGGCAAGTCAGTATAATTGAAAACAATTAAGCAATAATTTCGGTCTATATATTCAAAAATTATAAACCGTTAAACTATAAATTAGATTATTTTTTTAAATTTTAACGAAAAGTTCATGTTTCATCTTTAATAAATAGATCTAATTTTGGTTTCTTGGAGCATGGTGCTGTTCAGTTCAATTCTTTATGTTTGATTCTCACACTAATTTTCACTTGAACTTATCAAATTAGCACAATTTAAACTCGGGTCCATGGAAGCTTAACTCCCTGTGGCAATTCAGCATGCCCAAAACAATTACACTTCTGTGGAAGCGGCGTAATTGCTTTCACAATGTTTTTTTTTTTTTTTCAGGTGTAACTTGATGGTTTTTTTCCCGTATTTAAATTGTATAACACGAAAACAAAGCAGTGAACAATTGTTGCTTAGCACTAATTATATGTGGATTTCAATTGTGATTCAGCGATGAAGCCCGGCACAAACGAGCAATTGAATTAAGTAGCGGTCGGATTAAAACACCAAATGCGAAAAAAAGAACGTTAATTTCGATTACAAATTCTAATTGTAAATTAGTAGAGTTGGTGTGTGTGTGTGTGTGTGCATGAATTTTCGGTTTCGAAAAGGTGGAAAAGGTGAAACATTGTATATTGGACACTTTTATATTACGAGCTCATCATCAACAACAACAGCAACTGGGTAAAAGATGTTGAATTAATCGGGCTGTCGGTGTGACGACGCCAATGAAATGGTTTGGAGGCTCTCTATTTGGATGCGGTTCGTTACTTAGACACAAGTTCTATAGAAATAATATAATGTAATGAGATTTTAATTGATTTTAAATATGTAGTAGTACTTAGAAAAATGTATAAAATGTTAAACTTGCGCTCGGTTTTTTTCTCTTCTATGATTTCGCAGCATTTCCGATTATGTGTTTGCACATAATTGGCCATCATAGTTTTTACAAAAACAACAAAAAGAAGATAAAACAAATGAATGATTTTTTTTGTTTCTATGTGTGTGTGCATAATATATTCACTGTTCTGGATTCTCCTATTAACATATTATAAAATTAAGTCCAACGAGTAATTGCCATTTTTGCTCTCTCTCTCTCTCTCGCTTGCTCTCCCCCTATCACCATTGCGTGGATTGGGTTGGATGTGTTCTCTTCATTCACATGGTAAGTAATGCCAATTAAACGTTAACTCTTCGGCCGTCATGTCGAAGAGAACGGAGTAGGGCTAAACAATAAATGTGTTGAAATGATAATCAGCTGAGAAGTTGGCTCAGCGCATAGTTTACAAGAATTTTGCACTAATTTATTTATTTATTATATGATTTGTGAAACAAACGAACGAAGAAAAAAAAAAAACCAGAGTCGAGAATCACAACACAGAAAAAACACTTCCCGCTCGATAAAGCCCGAGTTTTATTCTCGCATTTTAATTTTATTAGCACTTCTTTTTCATCGTTTGTACACCTTTTTCATGTACATGCGTGTCTATTTGTTTTTTTTTCCTCTCTCGCTCGCTCTCTCCATCTCTCTCATACACACGCATTCCCTTGCAATGTTTGTGATAAACATAAAAGTCGTGAATCTTTCAAAATGGATGTTAACGACTTTTAGCAAAAGCTTAAATACCAACATTCGCACTCGCATAATAATAGTCGTAATGGACGCTTCCTGAAACAATGAAACGATAAAAGTCAAAAATCTAATAAATTCAAAAGGAAAATTGTTCAAGCAAAAATATGATATTCGTTTTCGGTTTGCGAATTCATGCGTGTTCGCATTTTACATTCGACTTCTTATTCATTCGACATCATGTTTATTGTCATTTTATTTATTGTGAGGGCAAACCCACATTAAGAGAAAATTTCGAATGAAAAAAAAAATGAGTAACCAACAGCAACAAGCAAACTTAATACAATAATCGATTTGTCTCCGTCGCTTATTAGCCAATGTTTATTATGAGAAAACGAAGAAAAAAGACGATGAAAAAAAAGAATTAAATAAATAAATAAAATCAACAACGGAAGAGCGAAAAAAAATCTATATCTATATATATATGTATATAAACGAATAGAGTGAGGGAAGCGACTTGAATACACACGCTTCTCACACCAAAAAAGAAATAATTATGAAAATCATCCAACCAATTGGTAATTTCCATCTGTCATCATCGTCACAAAAACTCATCATCATCAAGCAGCAAGCGTCTCATTTACGAAATTATCCGTCATTTCTGTATCACCCATCGATTTTTGGTAACTAGCGCTGGTAATAATTTTGTACGGTTCAGTCGTTCATTCGACGAATATCCACAGTTAATACATTCACACTCTACATACATGGATATAATATGGAGAAAAAAAAAGCGGACCGACCGATATACATACATACGGCGCACATACATTTCACGCGGACTTTTTGAGCACACAATGTTTGAGACATGGCCAACACATTCAAGCTGTAGAAATGCGTATGTTTTGGGAACCTCCCACGCGACCATACTCTTTCTCTTTCTGTGTCACAACCGATTTATCGAATCGGTGATTTACGCTAACACAAAATAAACACTTGATTCTATCGAAAAAAACCGAAACAAAAATTGCTTCCTATTTAATTAATGGTAAATAAATTTTTGTTCTTTTTTTCGTTTGTTTCAATGAATTTTCTAATAAAAGTGACACATGTTCGTCAAGTCATGCCAATCGATTCGTCAAATGCTTAAATTACAACTGTTGCAAGTCAATTGCGAAGATTCATGTCTGCAGACATTGTAAAATGAATTGATTCTTTGATGTCAATTATTTGGCAAAAGTGTGCAATGTTTTTCTATGAATTTACTTTGCTATTATTTTTTTATTGATGCATCGGAATGATTGTGGATGATTTCAAAATGTTTGTTGTTTTTTTTTTCGAAAATAAATGTAGAAATTGTTAAAATTATGTGTTGAGCGTCTCAATTTATTGGCGTCTCTTATTCGAAACAATGTCAGCGCAACGCAATGCCGACAAGAGAAAATACACCATGTAGGAAAAATGATTCGGAAAAAAATAATAATAAGTAACACAAATTATCCAATAAATGAATGGCATTTTGTGGAAATGACTTTTTGCCCATTTGATGCGTTTTCAGCGGTAAAACCAAGTATATATTTTACCCGAAAACATCAATTATATGTTTGCAATGGATAATCCATTTCATATGGAATACTGTAATAAACTAATAACTATGTTTGGCATTTGATATTCAGAATACGCATGTACATATGGACATAAAATGCAAATGCGATTGCACAATTCTCTCTCGCACATTCTTCGGTTTGTTGTTTTTTTTTTCGCCATGGTTCCTGTTTTTGTCTCCTTGTTTCTCCTTCTTGTACATACAACACTAAATATATATAACATATATTGAAAGCAATCGACAATTATACGAGCAACGCGTATTATTATTCATTCCATTGTGTCGCTTTTATAAATGGTAGTGCCATACTAACAAAATTCTCATTTGTTATAATCACTATGGGCCAAAGTCAATTACCGAACATAACAAATTAGCTTTTGTGCTCGCGCGATAAACTCCGAACAACAGCAGAGAAAAAAAAAAAGAAGAGAAGAAACCCCACAACAAAATACGATTTGGCGTTGAGTAAATGCGGAATATTCATCTGTTTACTCTTCTTCATCGCCTTTTTGTAATGAAATCTACAACAACAACACCAACGAACACGAACCGACATTTCTTTGTCGGCACATCGCATCAATAAAGTCAATTGTGAATATGGTGAAAAGGGAACACGAACTGCAAATCCAATGAACTCAATGCACGCCAATCATTGGCCAACCGGCGAATACAAGAAAATAAGAATAGAGCGATAATGCCCGTTTAAGCCCCGCCCCACATTTTCATCCGAACGCTTCGGCTGTAACGTGTATGAATCGAAAGAGGGAGAAACTATTAAAGCAAGTCAATGTGAAACCATGCCCATTGCATGACAAAAAAAAAAAAACCAACGGCATAAAAATGAAAACATTTCAAACTAATACAGCGAAAGCGTTGAGTCAGAATAGGAACGCACAATTGGACGAATGCGATAGAATAAATATGAACGTGTGAGTGTGTGCGTAGAGACGGTGAGTGATGGTGTGTAGCTGCAAGCGGTAAGGCCGGCATAAGCGACAGCACCAACTAACTTGTTTGATAAGTTGTTTTATGTGCTGAACACAGTCGTATCTAGGTGTTCGAAGACGTTGGATAGATTCGCTTCGAACGTGCGCTACTGCAACGAATGCCTCATATCGCGGCAATATAATTCAATGGATACATCGTGTGTGTGCATTTGACGTCTTTTCATTCATATTGACGTAGTGATTTAATTTTTTTCTGTTCGAAATTGAGCAAGTTTTGATCAAAGTGAATAAATACGATTTACTTCCGTATGTACATTGTTTTTTTTCTTCTTCTTGCATATACACCGCAGTGATTCAACCAAATGGGATAATTTTATTGTGACTTAAATGAAAAATAATATTTGGAACCGAACAGTGACATTACAATTAACATATTAAAAATATTTTGGAAAATATAATTGGTTGAGATAGGTGGTGATTGAACAGCAATGATTTAAAGTGAAATCATAGTGAAATCCATATGACATTTAAGTGAATTTCTCAACCGAAACTTAGTGAAATAGTGCTTATTTTGGATATTCTGATCAAATTGAAATTGGTATTTAACTTCTTGTAGTTCTAGCACGGGTTCTGACTGAGTGGTGGAACAATTGTGTCTGTTTAAGTGACCAAGTGACATTAACACTATCAAAAACCACATTATTTGTTTACCCAATTGGAACGAGAATTTGACAAGAGTCACCCCGATAACATATATATATATATACTTTTGAATTTTGTGTAGTGAAATTGTGTTGTTTGAAACAAAAAAAATGTTGTGTGCAACAAATGCATCACCGCCACCAAGTCCGGCCGGCTCTGAAATTTCGGTGGGAGCACCAAGTCCACCGCCAAAATCACAACAACCATTAGAAAATGATCGTCGACGAAACGGTGACGATTATTTTCAACCATTGAAACGTCTCAAAGGGATTATGAATTCACGTGAACGATCCATCTCACCACCGGCTCAACGATCAACGATTGAAGGTGTTAAAAGTTTTTCCATTGCCGATATTCTCGGTCACGAATCAAAAACAAATAACAACAACAACAACAACTCGACAACGGCATCAAATCAACATCAAACTACGGTTAGTAGAGCTCCATTTAAATTGTGTTATTCAAGGAACCGATGAATGCATTTTCTATTTCGAATATTCAAAAAATAAAATAAATGTTTGTTTGTAGCACTTGAATCAATCATTTAAGCCATCAAATTGAAAATTAATTTGGCTTGAAATGGTAACGATTCGATTGCATCAAATATAAGCTTACATTTCCTTGGATGACATCAATCATTCTGAGCTCTAATTATTGTGGTTTTACAGGAAACACGAAGTAAAATTGTTCGACCATGGGATCAATTCCGTGGATCAGTGCATGCAGTTCGTCCATTTCTTCCTCCAGCCTTACTACACTACGAACATCGGCTGGCGCTCGATTATCATCGACATTTGGAACATTTAAATGCACAGGCACAATTGTTGCGACACATGAACATAAACATGAGCATGGATTTAAAATCCGAATCGGGATCGGAGCGTAGCAGTTCAGCGGCAAGCGATTGCTGTTCACCAGAAATTGGTAGCGGCAGCCGTTTATCCGATCATCATATGCATCATTCAGGTTCACAACAATCGCAACAATCATCACAATCACATCACAGTCAAAAAATGACGAAACCAAGTGACACTCCATTGGACGCCCTATTCCAAATGACCAACAAAAATTTCGACGAAAATCAAGGTTTGTACACTTGGCTTATTTCAATTTTTCCATCATTTTATTTTTTTTCGATTAAATGTTCAAGTTTTCATTCAGTTTGCAATCATAACGATTTCATTCCATTCCATCGGAGGTTTTCATTTGCATGTATGTGATTGTTGGTGGGCAAGATTTTTGTTTTCCCCCGATCCCATGGTTCACATTCATAAAAAGCAAATCAAATGCTTTTGCAAAACTTGCCTTCCGAACTCTGTAAATTACTTTAAAAAAATGAGAGCGAACATTTCAACTCGTAATTCATTTAGGAACATTGACAAATCAATTAAAATAACGAACGAACGTACCAGGCTACTCGATAGTTTTTTTTTTGCACAAATGATAAACTAATTAACAGCACTGAATCAAGGCATCATGTCGGTCCGATTATGACTCATGTTTAATATATAAATTTCAAATTTAGAAATTACTTAAAATTCTTAAAGAAAAAAATCAATACTTTTTCGGCGATTGTGTGCGCTTAAAAACAATTATCACGAACATTTCTATGTATTACAATCAACGGTGCGATTTAAGTAGATAATAGATAATCTTTCACTTTTCTGGTTAATTCACATTTAAAATCTGTGAAAAGTGACCATCATAGACAAAACACTTAACTGAATGCTGAAATATTAGCCATAATGTCTATTTATAAATGTGTGTCTGTGTTCAAATTAAAATGAATATTATTTTTTGTTGTATAAAAAACAAGTTATTGTCTTAAACAAACAACATTTAATGTTATTGTTTGACATTTTGCTAATTGGCACCCAATATGTATGACTTAATATAATAACCAATCTGAAGTGAAGAATGAAACAAACGACACAACGTTTCTTTTTTTTATTGACTCAACGACATGGATTACATGATAAAGGTGTCATTTCCATTTAAATCATGAATCCTCAGTCTTTCATAATATTTCAACAGAATAAAAAATATGATCAGTTCCTAATATTTCCACTGTCTTTTATCGCTTCGCGTCGTTTCTCTTGATTGCCAATCAATTGAATCATTGTGTTGAGCGCGAGAAAGAAGCAACCAAACAAATACACATTGCACTGTGCATGAGTGATGTGTCACTGTGGTTCATTTTTTTTCGAACAATGATTGGCTTTTTCTAGGTGGCTAATTCCATTTGAAACATTAATTATAATTGATTTAAAATTGAATCTTCGCACAGCCCGCACGAATGATAATTGAATGATTGAGGAGGAAAGAGGAGCAAAAACAAATGCAAGAAAAAAGTGCGATGTGGTAAGCAGTTAATAACAAAAAGAAACACGTCGCATTGCGCGAGAAGAGAATCACCACACACACACACACGCAACAGATAATAAAATAATTATTGAATACGGTAAAGAGCGTGTGTTACTTTTAACATATTTGCGTCAATTCAATTATGTCGTTTTTGTTTCAAATAGAAAATGCTGGCTATAATCAAGATGACCATTTTCCTTTGACGTGTGAAATGTATTTCTTCTGTTGTTGTTTTTTTTTGTAATTTGCGATATACTCCGATCTGAAAATGAATCGTAAATTAGCAATTATTCATCAGCAACCGCAGCACGTCCGACACGCTTTTGTCTCTCTGTCCATCGTTTACAATTGTTTTTGTTTTTCTACCTGCTCTGATTATAAATCATTCATAATTCACTTATACACATCCAATGAACAAAAAAAGTGCACACATTTCGTACCAGCCTTTTCGTCCACAAACTAAAGAAAAAAACGTGGCAAAATACAAATTCAATTACATTTGTATTAATTCCATAACCATAATTCAATTTTCTGTTCGCATTTTTTTTTCGTTCATTGTTTAAGCAAATTAGTGGTCAAATTAGATTTAAATTGGAAAGAACTGGAATGATAAAATGAAATAATAAAAGAAAAACCACACAAAAATCACTTAAACTAATCAGATGCGATTTTGTCTTATTTGTTCGACCATTTCGATACCAGCAATCACTTGCAACAAAAATTGATCGGAACAAAAAAAAAAACTTTGACGATTCAATTTTAACAAAAGATACCGCGACAAGGAAATTACACGCAGCCGAAAACGAATCCGAGGTCCATTCGATATTTACCTCGCCTGCCCTCTATTTGATTGGATTTTTTTTTTGATTTTGGAAATAAAAACAGAAGTCGAAAACAATTTTCTCGCCAAATGATTAAACATAATCACATTAATATTGTTTAATGCAAATTGTACATCCGCTGTGTTTCGCATACGCTTTGATGTATGCAAACGTGAGTATGAGTATGTGTGTGTGTGTCAATTCGATTATCGGATGTGAATTTCAATCTCGGCATAAGTAAGAGTCAAGAAATACGCGCGAAAAGCGTCGGCTGCTGTTGTCGGTAAAATCAAAGCCAAACCCAATCAAATTCAAAGTAGTTGAAATCGATTTGTGTGTGTGTCGGTTAAATGCTAATCATCTTCGATCAGCTTGAAATGAATGCATTACAAAGAAATGTTTAATTTTCAATTTCTTGTCTGTTCACAATCTCTAATTACGATTTAAAAGAAGAAGAAAAAAAATCAAGGTAGAAATGCCATTATTTTCCAGAATTCACGAGAAAAAAATCAATACACACATCAAGAAAAGAATGAAAACACTTTGAAAATCTACAGCTAATTGAGATTTCAAGAAAAGGGGCCAAATATTGTCAAAAACAAATCGTAGTTTATTTGAAACGTATTCCTTTTTAATTACCCGTGAAAACATTCCGTTACATTCACACACATTCAGTGAAAAAACGAAACATAGAAGCCAAACGCACACAGCATACCTTTTGGGATTTGGCTATTGTGTGGCTCATTGACGAATGATTGGACCTCACAGATGTACTAACACAAAATTAAGCACGCAAACACACTGGGCGAGCGTAAGAAAAAAAAATGATGGATGAAAGAGAAAGAGAGAGAAAGATACACGTTCTTATGCACGCCAATTGTCTGACTCCTTTTTGTCTTTCAACTTTGCTGCCGGTGATGTGATACACAAAGCAATCAACTGTAGGCGATGCAGAGAGAGCCAGAGACCGGCAAAAAGTGTGAATATGACAACGACTATGGCCATCATAACGTTGATTCTTGTACAAAGGCAATCATAAGCAAGGATATAATAACAAATGCGTATTTTATTAGTCACACCTCACGGAAATCCTTTCAAAATGCCAGCATCACACCGAAAAAAAAATGAATCTTTTGACTTTGTTGGTTTTATGATTTCGAATATGGTACCGATCTCATTCTCATTTTTATATATCATTAAGTGAATTTCGATATATTCGATTCGACATTCGAACCAAACAACAAATATGAAGTGCCTCTGGTTTTATTGTTCTTATTTACGAAAAAAAAAAACAATACGTAGAGAACATCATTTTTCTGAAATAGGATTGTTAATAATAATCGTGTCTAAAAAAAAACAAATTCCGAACCAAAATTATGGAAGATGGAATGAGAAAGAAAGAAATTCACACACATACATACAGCCTTGCAACAAAGGAAACTCTTTGATCTGCGCCGACAACATAATGTGATCACTGCTTTAGTTAATTGGGTGTAACTGAAGACTAACGTTCTGATTTCCTCTGTGTGTTTGGATGTGAATTTTCACGTTCCACACGTTGCCCGGGCTATTTGCTTCTCGCCTTTTTCTCGTTTGCGTGTGATAGTCTCTATTTTTAAATGACGAACAAAGAATCCCAATAGAGAAACGGAATGGAGAAAAGAAAAATATATTTATGAAAAACGATCGATAGAATAACGCATTTAACACCTTACTGTATGCATTTTCACCGGTCATTGTGTTATCATTAATGTTGGTATTATTAATTTTGAATCACTTGTTGTTGCCTTGTCAAAGCAATCGTTATCGTGTTTCGGTCAAATACCTTCAAAATCCTTCGGGTTTTTCAACTTTTGCACAAAGGTTATTCGATCATTTTTTTGATCGACGACTGTTTTTATATGAAACAAACAAAAAATCTTTCTATCAGACAGTTGTGTGATGCTAACATGTTGTTGCATGAGACTGCAACCGAAATTCATTGTTTTGAACAACACGAAAAAGGCAAAACGGTGCATGATATACAATTGTGGTGGTCCTTTTACCGAACCGAAACAAAAAAACGAATCGATAAAAAGGTTAATTTTTCAATTCAAAATAACACTCATTTCATAACGTAATGAAAGTATCATAAATACAGACAAAAGACCACAGTAATTCAACGTTAAATACCACCAGGTATAGCATTTTCATTCAAACAATAAATTTTAATCAAAATTAAAAATCAATTTCTGAACGAAAAAAAAATATTTACCAATCGAAAAATTGCATGGCGACAATTGATCAAATGATTAATTACAAGCCGATCATTATCATTATTTATATACTTGAATAAATTATGAAATGCAAAAATAACGAGAGAAATTAACATTTGCATCGCGAAGGCAATGCATGATTGCATTAATTTTTGCACAAAGTCCTTTGATCGTATCAAATAAAAACGCATTTATTTGCTATGATTCTAACGATAGTTCCAAATGAAATTTACATCATCTACACCGTGAATAACCAAACGAATGGATTGAAAATCAGCGGCCCATCTCGAGAAGAACGAGAATAAGGAAGATATAGAGAGAGAGAGAGGGAGAGAGAGAATGAAAAGTCGAACAAGAAATGAGAGGCAAAAGAGAACGATCAGAAAAAAGACAAAACAAAATAATATTGGCCTCCCATATTGACGCGATAGAGTTATTACAAGTTCTGATCCCTACTTAAAAGATTTGTCGGCTCCTTTGAACATCTTCCAATTAGCTATTCGACCGACACCTAAGGCCTTGTTCAATATGTTAACATATATTTATACATGCGGCCGTATAGTTTGTACCAATGCATGGTCCAATACAACACATATACACACTCTTTGCTCCTCACATTTTCTGCTGTGTCTACCCGCTCGTATAC